TGGCACTTGCTGGAAGCAGCAATAACTAATTCCTGCTCTTGAGGCTCCTCCAGGGCTCTCCCTGGGTAAGAGATGCTCCTTAGGGATCCCTGGCTGGGATCTGGGGGCCTGGACCATCCAGCTGTTGGGCACAGCTGGACAGTGAGGAGCAGGGCTTGTGTTTGGACACAGCGCTGCCAAGTGCCAGGAAAAAGGAGGAAATACCTTGGAACACCCTCCGGCCGGTGCTGCTCCGCTCCCAGGCTGCTGCTGAGGAGGAACTGGGACTCCTGACCCCACCGCAGGCACAAAGCTGAGCCAAACCTGCCCCTTCCCCCTCCCTGCCGGGGCTTTTGGCACTTCCCCTTCCCGGGGCTGCAGTTCCAGGAACCACCTTCCCGTTTTCAGCTCTCCTGGGCCTTGTGCTTCCTCCCTGGAGCTGGGTCATGCCCAGAGCCGAGTCTTCCCAAAGCCAAGGCCCAGAGCAGGTGGAAAACAAACCTTCCCTTAAATGATCCCGTTATCCCTCTCTGCTGTAGCCTCGTTATTCCTGGGAAGCAGGATGGGATCGTTCATCCAGGAGCCTCCACCGTGTTGTTCCCTCTCCCCTTCCCGTGGGATCCTCCAGGTTGGAGCTAACACAGAACAAACTTCCTTTGTTTTGAGGTTTTATTATTCAAACTCTTTACAAATCCGTCCCCAACAGAAGGACAACTGCAACGCTCTCATTTAAAAAAAACCCAAAATAGAAGAGGACAAACACCGGCCCTGCGTCTCCATCCCGGCCCCCATAAATAAGAGCTTTTATTTCGTTCCTATATCCCGGCTATTTACAGGAATTCCAGGTGCTGGAATGTGCCGGGATGGAGTCCCAGCAGGGAAATGGTACCGTGAGGCAACGGGGGGGTGAGCTGAAATGTAGTGTAGGAGGGCAGGGCACAGGAACTACCCCGTGGGGAGGGGGGTTAATTGTCCTTCCGGACCTTCCTTCAAGTAAAAACGGCTTTCTGGAGATCCATTTTCCTGTTTCTTCCGATGTCAGCGGCACTGAAAACGCTGGGAAACGCTCCAATAATTAACCTGCCGCCTTACAACGACCTCGGTCCTGGGGTGCAACAGGGAATAAAACCCCTGGAACAGGGAATAAAACCCCTGGAACAAGGAATAAACCCCTGGGGAGGGGGGGTTGGATTGGCCACCTCCCAGTCAGGTTTTCCGGGCAGACCTCGGACGGCCCTTCCCGCGCCACAGGGAGCATCCGCCGGGATGGGGTGTCCCGAAGGGTTGGGATGTCCTGGAAGGGTTGGGATGTCCCGAAGGGCTGGGATGTCCCGGAAGGGTTGGGGTGTCCCAGAAGGGTTGGGGTGTCCCAGAAGGGTTGGGATGCCCCAACTGGTGCCACCGTGGGGAGGAGCCGTGTCCTGGCTGGACTTTGTCACCTGCAACAGAGAGAGGCGGCGCAGGTTGGAGCTCTGCTCCTGCACTCCTGAGGAGATTCCCAGGAAAAGTACTGGAGTGTTTCCCACT